CAGAGGTAGATTAACGCACAAGGCATTCCATCCCCAGAACTAAAACAAATGCAAATCATTTAAGTCATTGTAAAAAATGTTGAGGTTTAAAGCTCTTCTTTTTATTAAAAATGGTAATTTGAGGGGTTACTTTTAGTTGGTGGTCTTTGTATGCAATGAGTGTCCTTTATATAAGCCTTGATGCATCTTTGAGACTTGGCCTCCGGAAGTAAACAGATCAGATTCATAGAAGCATGGGATAAGATGTAGTCAGATGGTATGAAGCATAATCCAAGAAAACATACCAGCCCTCCCTTTGCTGCCCAGGGAGCATGCTAGAATTAAGCAGTTTCCTTCTAGTGACTGCARAGAAGCACAAGTCCTTCCAAACAGCAGACAGTAAATAACATTGTGCCCCTAGGAGGCCAGAATTAAAGGGTGAGCTAKTTGGTTACTGGAATATTTGACTTTCACTTGGGGCTGCAGAGGAGCAAGAAGAGGGACCATGTGTTTATGTGTTGGGTAAGCAGAGGAGTCACCACCTTTTGGGATGCTGATGAAGAATGACAGAAACAAGAAGCATTGCATTAGCTAGTCATATCACACTTTGGATGCTAAAGCAGATGTGAGTGTCCAAGTGCTAGAGGCTGTGATTATGGCCTGCATTTGGTCCCCAGTAATTCTGGGAGGGGAAAGTGAAGCAAGACCTCAAGTACAAAGAACTGTTTGGTTACTGCCTGCTGTGTTGCCTCACCCACTAGGAAATTCTGAGTGGAAGAATCTCAGAAAGGTTTTTTGTTCTTGCAATGGCAAAAGGACAGCCAGTTAGGAAAACCTGTGGACATTTGAGATTTGCTGACCAAGTGAGGGGTTAAGGCTGGGGTGGAAAAGTAAAGCCCAGTGGGAATCTCCAGCTCACAGCACCAAGAGGGCAGGTGGTAGCTGTGTTGGTGTAGGCAGCTCCGCCCTTCTCCTGTGGAAGTGTCTGCTTCCTTCTGTTTGGTTCCCTTGCCCTTTCTCTGTTCATTTTTTGTGTCTTTGTTTGTTTGTTTGTTCTGTTCTGTTTTTGTTTTTGCAATGCTAGTGATTTCAGTCAGGACAGACTAAAATGAACTATGAATGACCTTTCACACATGGGTGGACTATACCACATGCATGTATTTAATATGTTATATTTCATAACTTATTTCAAGCAGCGTCTACCTTGTATCAGGATCATCCACTGCAGGGCATTACATAGCACCTAACCCTTTTCATTAGAGCATCTGCACATTTTTCTTTTAAATGTTCTTGCTCAGTGATATAGTCAAGAGGCTTATAGCCAGAATGCATTTGAGGATAAATGGTTTATCTTGATAGCTGGCAAAAATAGGGCAAATAATACAAACCAGGGCAGGATCGGGATTGAACTAGCTGGTGGCTAGCCCTCTCCCAAAAAAGGGTTTACCCAGATTCACTTTTACAAAATTATTATCCTTTGAAATATAATTGAAACTGAGAAATTAACTGTTTGAGCAGTATTGGCTATTTGGTTCTGAGCCAGTGTCACAGGGCAAAGAATAATATCCTGCATGTTAAATGATGCAGGAGGAAGCAGAGCAAAAAAGAGAGGAGGGACCTTTGCCTCATTCGTTTCAAAGGTATATCCAGAGTTTGAAGCACTTGAGTGCTTTAGAAATGTCTAATTCTAGGATCTAGAGCTGCATTTCTATATGTAACGACTTTGGAGAATTGAAGAAACAAATAAGAACATTTAGCAGGATATTGTGAACTGTGGAAAGCAGTAACAGGGAGAGCAGTGTCTAAAATGGGGTCCTTGATGACTTTATGGCTGTGCATACTTTGCCTGGGAAGGTTTCTGTGTAAAGGTACAGGATGCCTAGCTGCTGTGATAATGCCCTCCATGAGGAGGCTCTCTGCTAGAGTCTTATCAGCCTCAACCTTTAATCTCAGGCACACAGCTCCTGAGAATAAAGGAACTCTTTTGCTAGACAATCACAATGTTTCACCAGCTCTGCAACTCCTGAACCTGCCTGCTTCTTTAAACAGTGGACTTTCTTGAGAGCTACACAAAGCTTCTAACATTGCACATTGCCACTGCAATGTGTAACTGAGGAATAAGCTACATAATGTTCATGAATGCAAAGATTAATACTTACATAGTCTTTAATCTTGATTAAAGACATGTATATAATTTAGATTGCTGGTGTAAGTCTTCAGACCTGCTTCTCCAACAGAGAGCAGTGCTCCACCCAATCCCAGCTGTTTATCTTCAAGATCTGTGTACATAAGACTATTCTTTCAATCTCCCATCACCCCCTCATCAGAACCTGCTAGTTCAGCCGTGCTGGTCACAGCACTAAATTCTGAACCCTGACATCATTTGGTTTAAATTATGAGAGTCTTAAGCTATTTTCCGATTTTCTTGGCCTTTGGAGAGCTTGTTTTTCTATTCCTTGGGATGCTTCTTTTCTTTTTACCTATTCTTAACTAATCACTAGCTTCTTGAAAAATGAGTGTAGTGATGACTGCCATTACCCATATTTTACCAAAAACCCGTGCAGCATCCAGAATAAATAATTAAAACAAGGGAAAAGGGGCTGGGRTGTGTACTTGGTATGTACGRGGCCCTGGGTTCCCTAAGGGGAATAAAAGGATGACTCCCAGAGGTGAACTTATGTTATAAAAACAATGTTCCATGTGAATCACAATGTTAGGATTGAATTATTTTGTCCCTTTTTCCACTTCCATCATCATAAAAAAGAAATTTCTTTTGAAGAGTGTARGTGTGAGGAAGAAGAGATACTGTGTTAAATTACGCTATGCAAGAAAGGGCTTCAGAAATTGGCCGTTAACCTCCTTATTAGACCAAACTAGAATGTTGTTAGATTAGAAGCTCCACATGACAGGACTCTCTTACTTAATAATATTCAACTAGTAAGGTTTTCCATTGTTGTTTAGCAGCCAGTATTATGTGGATTCCCTTTCCAATCACAGTAGCCCCTGAGATCAATACTGAACATTTAGGAGCTTCTTTACAAATTCTCTAGCTGGTTATCAAGGGGTTAAGATCAGAGTTTCAATGGTATCTTCCATTTTGAAAGTGCAAGTTCCTAAACTGCCTTTCTTCTTTGTGGTTCCTAATGTTACAAGGTTTAGCTTTACTCTCACTTTTAAATGGGTTTAAAAAAAAAAAAAACTGCCATTTGCGTCTTGGTTTTTTGTTTGTTTGTTTTTGGTACTGGGAATTGAATCYAGGGACACTGTACCACTGAGCCACAGCCCCAGTCCTTTTTATTATTATTTTTAGTTTATTTTTATGTGTTGCTGAGGATGGAACCCAGTGCTTCACATGTGGTTGGCAAGCGCTCTACCACTGAGCCATAGCCCCAGCCCCTTATTTTTTATTTTGAGACAGGTTCTCAGCAAGTGCTTAGGGACTAGCTAAGTTGCGGAAGCTAGCTTTGAACTTGTGATCTTGCCTCAGTCTCCCAAGCTGCTGGGATTACAAGTCCATGCCATGTGCACAGCTCATTTACATTGTTAGTATAAAATTTATTTTTTAGAAAAATGTGTCTAGGCCTGGGGTTGTAGCTCAGCAGTAGAGCGCTCATCTCATATATGTGAGGCACTGGGTTCAGTCCTCATGTAAAAATATATAAATAAAAATAAAAGGCATTGTGCGCTTCTACATCTAAAAATATTATAGAGATATTAAAAAAATAAAAAGAAAAATGTGTCTAAACAAACTTTGTATTCTCTAAAATAAGATTTCCCAGTGTATATGTATCTCCTAGACCTCACCTTCAATCCCCCAGAGACTTTGATATTTACTTTTTCGCCTTTCTTTGCATCTATTTACATTCTTTTATTGCTGAATATTACCAGTGGTAACGCACATATTCTTTTCCTGGTTCTTAAAGCTAAAAATCAAGAGTGGTTTGAGATGGAAACAATGTCTGGTGTGTGCAACTCAGGCTGCTTTTCCTTAGTCCCTTGTCTTCCAATTCAAAGTAGATAGGGAGTGCATAGGGGTTAAGGCTGTGGTTCTCTGAGAGTCTGATTAAGACCGTTGATTCTTCTCTGGCTAACTATCAAGAGCACTCTACTTTCTGAACACACACTCTGGTGTGCCCCTAAAGATACGAGACAAAGGTGAGGCCATACATGAGGAGAAGGAAATACTAATTGCATTAAGGTATAACTAAAATAGTAATCAGAATGGCTTTCAGTTATTGAGTCTTTCTAGGTTCCAGGCTTTTTGCCAAAATCCAGTCTCACATAATAATGCTTAATCCTCCTAGCTGTACTGAGCAGTATTATGTGTCTCTGGCAGATGAGGAAACATGGCCTTATGTTAAGAAGCTTTCCCAAGCTGATGTGAGTAGCAGGAGCTGGACTAAACATACAAACTCAAGTCTGTCTAGGTTTATCTGACTGGGGGTGGGAGATATGTTTGTGCAGATAGAGGACCTCTCGTGAAGAAAGGCCTTTTTGGCATAATCCTTCACTTTCAGCTGGGGTAGGATCCTGATATGGATTGCAGCCTTACATTTTAGGTTACAAAAAGAAAAGTAGAAGCCAAAAAAGGGATCAGGGATTGGGAAAGCTGATCACTAGCTCAGCATACTCAGCATACAAACACACACAGTGCATCATTTAACCTCTGAATTCTTGGTTTGTCTCTGTACAATAAAGGTTCAATTATCCTTGTTAATGGAGGGAAGCCAATCGTGAATAACTCTAAAGAGCCAGTAATCTAAAGAGCATTTATGTAGCAGTTTGCCATTTGTATGTGACTTCTTTAGGGTAGATTTATTTTCCAAAATTCATTTGCTTAGTCATCCCGAATAGTAATACATTGACCTGTCCCATGAACAAAAATCAAAGTGAATTATCTATAGGGGAATATTGGACACTTAATTCTAGAGGAAAGCTTTTAAATTTAAACATCCTCAGACATACTGACAACTTTTCTTCTTCTGGTTTTTTTTTTTTTTTCTCTTTCTCAATTCATTTAGAATGTATGCTGTCAGGAGGATAAGAGATGCCTTCAGAGAAAATAAAAATGTAAAGGATCCTGTAGAAATTCAAAACCTAGTGAATAAAGCCAAAAGAGACCTTGAAATAATTCGTCGACAGGTAAGATGGTTCAGTATACTGTTTTCATTAAAAGCCTTCAGCTCTGACATTTCCCCCTTGATTGGACATCACTACTTTCAGGTTTATGATTTATACTGCAGGATCATGAAACTCTGTCTCTTTTTTTCTGTCCTCTTTTTTCCTAATACAGGCACAGAAAAACGAGCTATCCATATTATCGAATTCAAGGACAAAATAAAAGCATTATCTTTTCAAAATTTTCAGGGACTGCGTCCTTCTGGAAAACTAAACTCTCATAAACTAAACGTTGGAAGTGTGATAAATTTCAATATAATAACTTTTTTAAAATTAAAAGTCTTTGTAAGATATATTATAGATATATATGTGAACTTATGTCAGGGTATAAACATCTCCTTTTCTAGTATTTATCATTATAATTCATGATGAATAGAATGGATGATGAACCTGAATTACGTTGCTAGATGGAAGGTGCACAWGGTATGGAGCACAGCTGGTGGGGGTGCAGACCCCATAAAAGACCCTGGAAGGTGTTTTTGTTTTCATTTTGTACAAGATCCAGGGATCAACTTGCAGGGATTGCTTTTTTAGAAAAGTTAATGAGGTGGGTGGAGCACTTATGGTAGCCTGTCTTCTCAAGAACTATTAGAGTGTCAAAGGTTAAAGTAGCCTTCTATTGATTGGTTTTCTCAACCTGTAATAAAATTGCCCTTTTCACTGTTTTTCTTTAATTTAGCAATAGTCACACCATAAATCTCTTCGTTTTCACCCCTACTTCTCTCTTACTTGTGGTAAATGTGTTTATACAGTGTACGGGGGAATACGTTACCATTTTCTTAAGTTCTGCTAGTGTTTTAGAAAGTGTTTGGCTGACGTTTCATCAGACTCTTCCCTTTCCTTGACCTTTCTTCATGCATAACTCAAAATAGAATTCAAATAAGCAAGAGTTAAAAACTATAGTTTTCATTTTATGACAAGATTAAGTCTGGTTCTGTTGGCTTCATAATGGATCAATCCCTTCTGGAATAACATTTCAGATTCTGGTAGTCCTCCTTGATGTCTGCAGTTATCTAGCATTGGAATAACTTTGCCACATTCAAACAAGTATGGGAAATGATCATTAGCTAAAAGCATGATAAGATAATAGGGTAGTTAGAAAAAGACTGATCTGCACATTTTTGTGTACTTTGAGAATGGCAGATAAGTGAGACGCCAATGGAAAACTCTAGAACGATGGTATTTTCCAGTCACCAGCAGTTCAATTTCATGGGATCCTTTAGCAGTAAAATTTAGGAAAACAAGCAGCCTGGGTCTCTATTTTACATAAACTCAGAAAGATTCAGTTCTTTGGCACTTTCTCTGTGTAGAAATTGGCAAGCATTTCCAAAACAGACTGGTTTTATCTTTAGTCTAAAATTACTTAGAATATAAACTGCTTAGAAAAGGGGGCCTGTAAATAATCTGTGCCACCATTTCTTGTGTTATGTCTAATTGTCTGTGTCATTTTTTGGTTTGAAAAGCTTTCTTTTTCTTTCAAAACAAACAAACAAAAAAAAAAGGAGTTATAGCCCAGTGGTAGCATTTGCCTCAGCATGCAGGAAACCCTGGTTCTCTCCCCAGCACTGGGGTGGGGGGAAAAAAGACTGTGGCCATCATCCAACATCCCCAGTGAATCCACACTGAAAACAGATGGAAACATTGTTGCAGCAGCTAGAGAGTGAGTAGAGTGAGGGTGCCCTCCCCAGGACATCGGGGCGACTGCACCTTCCTGATAGAGGAATGTACACTGCCCAGCTTGCAGGCCCAGGGTTTCCAGAGTGACCTTCTAGGAGCGAGGTACCACTTTCTCATGGAAGCCCTCATTCTATGGGAGAACTACTTAGCCAGTTAGACTTCAGCTGGTGGGTAGTTTTCTACTCACTTCCCATTCACGTCAAGTCCTGTAATGCAAATTTTACCACAGTTAGTGTATGGGATATGGTAGATTTCCTGAGACACCTCACTGCGAGCTGGACCAAAGGCAAAGGTATGTTGTTTAACGTCCTTGCTGCTGACTTCTGTCGTTATCTTCTAACTTGCTTCACTGTTTCCCCTGCTGTGTTCAGTTCATAAATAGCGAGAATGATCTTTAAAAAAARAAAATAATAGAATCCGATCACTTCATTCTCCTGCTCGGCCCCTTTAGGGGCTTCATAGCACCTTGACAAGAAAAACTGACTCTTTGTGAAATCTTCTGAGGCCCTGCATTACTCTGGTCTCTCTCCCTCCCTCACACAGTGTCCATTAACTTCTTGTTGGCCCTGGTGCACACCCAGCTCATCCCTTCTCAACCTCCTTCAGAGGTTCTTCACCTGAAGGAGACGCTCCCGAGACTCTTGCCTGGCTCTCTCTGACCACACTATCTCAATTAAACAGCTGCCCTCTCGTGCCCTGCATCACTTTTCCTAACAGCACTTATCTGTACCTAAAACACTACTGCTCGTTGCCTTATCCATTTTCTCCCTTCCCCATGAGACAGTAGCAGGTACAAGGAAGGGATCTAAGGATCTGGTGAGCAAAAACATGTGCTGTGAGGCTTGTATTCCAGTCCTGACTCAGCTATTTGACCTTGAGAAAAATATTTGATTTCTTAGTGCCTAATAGAAAATACAAATAAAGATAGGGAATTGTGGTAAGGATCAAATAGGTTAATGTATGAAAAGCCCTAAAATGATATTGGTGGYACCTAGTACACTTTGCAAGTATTTGCTATGATTACTCTACAATCTCTAGAACTGCAGAGTGCTGGATGCTCAAGAGAGTACAGGCAGGGTTGTCCTGAGGTCAGAGGGCTGGGCCACCAAAGTCCTGGTGTCTTTTTGGCCACTTAGTCCCTCCTGGAGGAATAAACTGACAGGGAAACGGAAATTTCTTGAGGATCCTGACCTATCACCTTCAGGAGCTGTGATTTTCTTCCTTTCAAGACCCTCCTCTGCTGGAGCATTTAGACCAATCCCAGCTTTACATTTCTGTAAATAGGAAACCAGCAGCCACTGTCCAGCTACCACACTCCTACATCATCAAAGCAGTAGTCGGAAATCCTCCATCTTCTATACTGAAACCGCCCTCTTTGCTTTCTCCTTGTGCTTTGAAGTACAGCTTCTTCAGTCCCTTGACTCATCTCTGGTGTGTGAAACCACCATAACCTGGCACAGTGTTGTAGTTTTTGTTTTGTTTTRGGTTTGTTGTTTTTGTTTTTTATGGTACTGGAGCTTGAACCCAGGGGCACTATACTGCCACTGAGCTACATCCACATTTCTTTTGAATCAGGGTCTCTGTACATTGTACAGGCTGTCCTTGAATTTGCAATTCTCTTGCCTCAGCCCCCCAAATAATGGGGTTATAGATATATACCACCATGCCTGGTAATTTTTGCTGTTTTTAAAGAAGTCTGAACAAAAACATTCTTCTGGTTTTCTGGGTAGAGAAGTTCAGGTTCAGGAAAAATGGATGCCACAAGAGCTCAAATCTTCTAATTCCTTGGAGCAGATTCAGAAGTTCAAGGTCACAAGTTCCTAAGTTAGTAAAAGTTGAAGGATAAAGTTAGTCTTAAGCCATCCTCCCATTTTTTTTTCCCCCAAGATATTTAAGAACCTCATCAATGGAGCTTAATCTCTCCTCAAAGGTCATTCATGCTTCCTTCATATCCCCAGTGTGCAAGATGGTAAGTCTGCATCGGCTGCCCCGAGGAGTTCTAGATAGCATCAGTATTTCTTGTGAGCCTTTGCACAGCTCCTAAAAATTACTCTCATTTCACRATATGGCTAGCTGGTTTTCTTTCCTAGTGAGCAAGTCGGCCTTCTTTTGCTTTTCTCCATACTTAGGACCAAACATGTACTTGTTCTTTCCTTGATGTTCTTGGACATCACAGTCTGATATGTCAGTAGCAAATCTCTTCCAGTTACATGCATCATATCCCATTAGACCAGTGGAGACATTCTTCTACCTTTCCATAAGCTGCTACTATTTCCACAAAAAAAAAAAAAAAAAAAATATGGTTCTGGAAAAACAGGCTGACCTGTCAGCATTTATGGGTTTTCCCCTGTGCTGAAAGCAAATTCTGGACTAGCCCCTGCTAACCCTAGATTCCTTATCTGTTCTCCAGCTGTGATCAGAAAGGTTGGGAGCCCTTTTGTATATGGGCCAAATGAGGACAGACAGTAGCTTGGCTGTGTGTGGTTGAGCAAATAGATCTCAGCAGTCTAGGCAGTCTAGTTGGTGTCTCCCTGAGACAGGAAGCAAGGCTTTGTAGGTCTTCCACATCAGACAGAGAAGCAGGGAAGCCAGCCAGATCTTGTCTTTATCCTTTGTTCAGCTTCATTGTCTAGAAGTATTCCTTCTGTTTACAGGCATTAGTTAGAATTGCTGTGAGTTGAGTTAATCACCCCAATTCATTACAGCCCTGCAGTTTGCCACTTCTCTTTGGGTTTTTTGCGTGTTTGTTTTGTTTTTGTTTTTGTTTTTGTTTTTAACACTTCTTGGTTTTTTAACCACCATAGTGTACCTTGTTTTCTGTCACTACTTCCCTTGTGCTAGTACCTTGCTCCTCTAAGTGCCTTCAGAACAACTGCAGCATGTAACATAACTGTGCAAAGTTTAAGTGCATTTATAGTTATCTGATGCCACTAGGGGTCATAAAAGTGAAATGACCCTTCAGTTCTTCCAGGTTCTCATATAGAAGCAAACCTAGGGTAACCGAAGTTGTTTTGTGTGCCAGAGGTGGACAGAGTGTACTTCATTTACCATTTTCATATTTTGGTCAGCCAGGTGAATCCATAAACTTTAGAAAAGAAAAAATCTTCTGTATGAAAAGGTTCCTGGCCATTATGTAGGCTAGTGAATTTAGCACTGTTTATATMCAAATAATATTTGATTACACTACCAAGGACAAGAGGCTACTAAGATATGTGTTTGATAGAAAATAGAAAGGACTGTATCCTGCAAAACAAGTTTCTCTCTTACCCAAGTATTTAGATGAAGAC